AGACAAGCCAAACTCCTTCTATTTGATCCTTATCAATGGAATTTTATTGTTGAAATTTAATGATTTATGTTATGTTCATCCATTGATTGAATAAATTTATATTAAATTTAAAAAAAAAATTGAATTGAAAAAAAAAAATGTGAAAATTTTACCTTTGAACTTTGACATTTTGTGTCAATCATTATGAATCAGAACCCACACTTTGGCTTAGCTCAAAGGACAAGGCTGTGCTATGTTACTTGTGACAGAAACAGACTTTAGTTTTGGGGTTTTGACTCTTGTAACATTCTACCCCAAGCAGTGAACATGTGTATGGGAGGTGAAACCGGTAATACTGACCAAGTTTGATTAAAATCAGCCCAACTTTTTACCACTAGTAGCATTTTGAAAAGTTGATAAAAAAGTTAATCCTTTAATGAGCTTTCGCCCCAAATCCCTGAACACCACACAGACACTGCTACGTTATCTGTGACAGAAGCAGTCTTTTATATGAATTTGGGTTTTTTTACCCTAATGAACCCCTGTAGGACCCAAGCGGTGAATACCACATGCATGGGCGGTGTCAGAGGTTATACTCAGTGGCGGCGCCAGCGGGAGGCTTAATCCCCCCGTCGGGCATTCAGACCATAAAACATATAAAAAAAGGCCCACACCAAGCCAACACATGTCTGTCACAGTCTAGAGTGCCATTTTCGGCCATCTATAGGTTGATATTCTTTAAAAAAATCTCATTTGGGAGGGGGAACCCCTCTTAACCCCTTCTCCCAGCTTGAGCCTACGAGCTCAAGTCCCCCCTGTCGGACAACTTAGCCCCTCTAGAAAATATATCCTAGAGCCGCCACTGGTTATACTGACCAAGTTTGATTGAAATCGGCCCAACTGTTTTGCACTATAGTAGCATTTTGAAATGTCGCTAAAAAAAATCAGGATCAATCAAAAGAATGCGAAGAAAACAGAACCCAGTCTGCCTGTGGATGACTGGGTAGTAACAATTTACTGTATATATTAAGGGGCCTCAAAACTCCTCTTTAAGCCACTCGCTGCATTCCACAGCTGTCTTAAGAATGTTGGCCAACAAATCCAACTCTGCTCTCTGTGAGTGACAGACAAAGCGACGCCTTCTGCTAATTGTCAGTATCAGTCTGATGGGATCAAAATTAAAAACCATTCTGTTGCGCATAGGTCATGGTGTTGCGTTGTCAATAGAATCGCGTCGGTCAATGACTATCTGACGATGCTTGTGCCTGGCTTTACACTGTATTTACCTCTGTGCACATGCTGAATTCTCCTCTTGGGCATTCTTCACCAGGACAGAAAGCATCAACTTTAACTGTTAACAAAAAATGTGGAATTTAAATGACTAATAATTATTAATAACTATTCTATATAACAAATTACAAAACAAGTATCAACATTTTTAGGCAATAATTTTTTAAACAAATTGATCTTTATCAGTATTATTATTTAGCATCAATGGTTGTATTTATACTATTACGCTGAACAATTAAACCTTCTACAAAAAATAAATTAAGGAAGTGTTTTGTCTGAAAAATTCTTACCTTGTCTTGAAAATGATATAAATAATTCTGTCGAATGATTGAAAGTCCAATGATAAAACATGCCACAGGGAAATCAAATTTGATCTGCTTCAAAATATCCACAAGTGCATTGAACCTAACAGTAGCTAAGAAGGAACGCTGAAGTAGATGATCAACTTTGAAAAGAGGTTCAATTTCAATTAAAACTGGCAGAAAGTTATCATGGCTGTAAAAATAATATGAAAATAATGTCACTGTATTACATGAAGCTGATTACAACCGGAGCTTCTCCAGTGTAATGTAATTTCTACTGTAATTATGCAAATAAACACACCTATGGCCTTAACCCCAGTGCATGAATTACTGTTTTATTATTAAATTCCCCATTCGGCATTTATTTTAATAATGATTATTGATGAGATGTTACAGCAATTCATTGTTTGAAAGACAATAACTGCATGATTCAAAGGAAATTTTGTTAGCAGGAGTGAGATACTTCCTTGGATGAACAATGTGGATGCAGAATAGCATATTTAATGTACACATAAAAAAAAAAACCATTCTTTTTTTAAATAATCTTCATGTCAGTATTACCAAATCATATACTCATACCATAAAACCATGGATGGGCTTCTTTTAGGATGGGTCTTTTTCAAAACGGGCTTCTTTTCGAAATTACTTTTGCAAACTAAAAAGGAAGGCTTCTTGTCAAAATTAATGCTGTAAATTTTTCGAATTCCTACTAACTATACAACATTTTCCAACTATGGAATTCAAAATTTTGTTTAATTTAATATTATTTTTTATTTTTATTGTGCTAGTACAATAAAATAATATTGAAACACACTATCATAATTATCAAAGGTAAATTTAGCCTAAATGTAAATACTATCTCTAAAGAAGCCCACACTATCTTGATTAAATTTCAAAATAGTCTACTTTTCAAGGTTACTTTTGCAAACTGAAGAGGGGCTTCTTTTCAAGATGGGGGTTCTTCTCGAGAATAAGACCATCGGGCTTCTATTCGAGGTTTTACGGTTTTGTTTTTTTTTTAGCTTCATGCAGCAAAAGAAATTAATGATATTATTTCAATGAGAGTGAACTGGAAACATTAAATACTTCATTAATATAATTGGCGAATCATATTTAATTGCATGCTACAAAATTTAAACAATCACAAACAATTCAATATCAACAGGAGTGGCTGTTCTGAAATGCCATCAAATTACCTAATTACTGTATTACATATGTGGCAAAGACAAGCCAAACCAGTTACTCGTCGCAAATCGTGTTTCAGAGAAAATGGCCAAAACATGCTAAAATGTCAAAATTTAAAAAATCTATTTTATTGCACTAAATTAACCTTTATATATCTACACACCATCCTATGCTGTTATTTTCCCCATTTTCAATGTTAAAACAACAATTTTTAAGGATTTAAAGATAGTTTCTGCATAAGAAATGCCTGAAATCATAAACTTTAAACAGCTGTGTGGTTAAATGCTTGTAACTTCATAAGGAAATGTCCAATTTGAATGATTTTTTTTACCATTTTATAGCTATTATTTTACTCTCTAACACAGTATTAATAACACAAAATCGATTTTTGCGACGAGTAACTGGTTTGGCTTGTCTTTGCCACATATGTTCATAAACTAAACTTAATATCTTACTTTTGATCAATATTCTGCATCCTTAAACTTTTAACGTTGAGGGTTTCATGACCCCACCAACTATCATCTTCATAGCCAAACCGGTCAAGGTGTTCTGGCCATTCCATTGGCGATGAATCCCCGCGCAAAAAGTGAAGAATTGGAAGTACCAAGAGAAATGTCAAGTCCACCTTTGATGATCCTGTTGAACACATGGCGTTGTTGCAAAGAGTCTGAATCGCTTTAGTTACCATTCTTGGATTTTTTTCAACAGAATAAAAAAAATATATCAAATTTAAAAACAAAATATTCTTGAATCTTGAATTTTTTAAATAATGCCTCTAAAAAAGTCCCACCAACGATTGTACTCACCTTGATCCTGTTAATTTGGTCTTGTTTAATTTTTCATTTAATACTGCATCATTGTTTTTAAATCAGTGGTTTTACAATTACTATGGATGTTGCTGAAAAAATTATATAATAAAATTTGAATATAAATTATGCTCCACTTCTCATGTCATTTCTGTTTTTAGTGGTTTTCCTTATTCAATACTCATATAATTATTTTACACTGAAAACTGCATAAGCTGAATGAATTCTAGGCTACGCATGCCATCGACCAGGATTCAGCTGTTGGAATACCATGTACAGTATATTTTAACTTTAGGAAAATATGCTTAATTTTAAAACATTTTTAAAGTTTTCAGAATTAATTATTCACCCGAAAACAAATTTATTGTGCAAGTGTGTTTCTGTAGGACATAATTCTGATATTACAATAAAAACACTATAAATAAGATAAAAACATAACTTGTACCCCCATTTGCCAGAGAAACATTTCAAGCAGACGTACTGAGCATGAGCAGTAATATTTATAAGGCGTTGCCATGGAGAATATTCTTCTGACCTCGCATATTCCATGATTTACATATTAGTCCAGGATCTAGCTCTGAGCTACTTAGTCCAGGTTTCGAGAATACGAAACCAGGACTAACTCTAGTCTAGGACTAACTAGTCCAGGACTACAGTTAATCCTGGACTAACTTAGTCCACTTTCGAGAATATGGGCCTTAGGCTTTATCAAGTGAACCCTTAAATATAATAATTCTGATGCTTTTATTATGTTATTTAACTCTATTGTGAGAACGATTCTTGAATACGGAGTGCCCAGTTGGTTTCCATATCAGGCTGGACACATCAGCTCCATTGTTCAGAGAAAGGCAACCCTTATGAGCATCCCTTTTGAATTTCGTTCTGTAGTAATAACAGACTGGCTCATTTTAATTTAATCTCTATGAAGGCTAGATTTGAATATATTTTAATTTTACTTATATTCAAATGTTTTTACTGTATATGCGACTTTGATTGTCACAAATTTGTTAAGATCAACACAAGACACTCAGAAGACTTGCTTTTCAGGCATGCCTTTGCCCAGACTAATGCTTTTAAGTTTTCCACTTTTATTCACTTTCCCATACTTTGGGATAAGCTCCCGTTGGAAGTCTGTGATGCAGCACGTTTTAATTTTCACTCTTTCAGTAAGCTGCGCAGGGAACACTATTATTAACCATAATTCTCAATGACTGCAATTATCATGCTTGGGCATGTCTGAATACTGGATCTTCTGAGTGTCTTGTTTATTGTATCCGATTTGCTTGCTTTTTTTTTTTATTTATGTATATAAAATTTTATTATTAACTAATTTGTCTAAAATTAACTCAAATCACATGAATATATATTTTTAAAATAAAATAAGGAAGCTTCTAATAATTGAATGATTGTAAATTGAAATGCTTATTATTTTCTATATTGTAATTGATATTTATATTTATATTACATTCTCTTTGTTTTGCTGTTCTCTGATTCCTCATATCGGATAGAGACTCACTTTGACAGTAATTTATTTTACTTTTTGGTTATCCTGCCGGCCCTTGTGGGGAATCAGAGACCAACATTTATTGTTTCTTTTTTGTTCTTTTTGACTGTTTTATCCTTTTATATTGTAATTGTTTTCGGTTAAATAAATGAAATGAAAAGAAATGAAATTTACCGGATATTAATAATAATTGTAAACCATGTAATTCGTTAGGGTTAGTTTTCAATAGCACCAGGATTATAATACAGTTCTGATATTTCTGGTCACGTTTATTGTTTAAAGAGGCTTTCGCTATTATTAGACAGTTCAAAACCTACTTAACACTATCATTGTCTACCTAGTTCCTTCTCATTTAATCAGTTATTCGTTTCATATGAATTTAAGCTTGTTTACTGGTTACAACCAAACTTTCCAACCAAACCCAGAATATTTTATTTTCCCCCACAACCTCCCCCGATGTATTTTTTAAATATTAGTAGACTATCTATATATAAAATTGATTAAATAAGCCTATGAAACCCCTAAATTGTCATATTTTTTGGGGGCCCACCCCTTTGACCACTTTCGAAACATTTTAATCGACACCTGACCACGCTAACTTTGCTCTCCTTGGGGACACAGTTCCCCCCAAAATCGTACCTTGGCCCCCTAGATTTCAGACGCTGACGCCGCCACTGAAAACTAGTTGAAACTTGAACTTGGCCAATGTACTGACGACGAAAAATTTCATGGTGGCCGAGGCAAGTTTATTGTGCTTTCTATTAATTGAAGATTCTACATAACAGTAAATACTTATTTGTGGACTATGAACAATGGTACCGTTGTGTTACGTGCTGTATAAATACATATATTTAACTGGCTGATTGATTCTTTATAAAGATCCTTCCAGTAGTGGCGTAACAGCGAGTCATGGTGCTCTGGGTTGAGAAAATGTTGGGCCCTTACATATCATTAAAGTATTTTTGCTTAGAAATGACCAGGGTGGGTAATTGTCTTAGAGATAATTGTTAAGGATGGAAAGACTTTAATTATCAGACAATGCCAAAAAATATTGTGTGAATATCTATTTAACTAAATTAATATTTTGCACACAAATTAATAATTTGAATTGCGTGCAATGTATAAATTAGGTCTGTGCATAAATCATTATTTGTTCGTGCATTTCATTATACATAAGTTACTGCTTAATCATGAATGTATTGATCTAAGTTCCAATGTATCTTGCCAATATAAATAAGCATTGTCAGACAATCATTCAATTAATCATAATCAGGGCCGAATCCAGGGGACACAGGGGCTATCCCTAACCCCTCAAAAATAGAGTAAAAAAGATAGAAGAAGAAAGTCCAAAAAACATGGGAGCATGACGTTACCGCAGACCTACTCCAAAACAAGCTGATTCTCGATTTAAATTTCATCAGTGTCTATGGTCTCAAGCATTTCTAAACATAATCTTCATCTATATCTGCCCCTGGTTACATTCTATAATGTATTCATTCCAAAAATTAATAATAGGCTCTATTAACATTATGAAGACTCAGAGACGGACAAAACTTTACTTTCCTCATAGTAATTGTAGGGCGACGACTTCTCGATTACCTTTTCTTCAGGTTGTCTAATAGGCTGGAAATACCAATATAGCAAAGTTTGGGTAACCAAATTCATTGATTGTTTAGATAAAGTGTCACTACGTTACCACAAATTATGTTGCTCTGAAACATGGTCTGAATAAAATGACCATTGTTATTTAGGCCAATCGATGATGTTCTAGACCTTTATCATCCGAATATTCAAATTATTAGAACAATAATAATATTATTTTAATAGATTTTTCTTATGTATAATATCTTTACATGCATAGGCCTACTATGATGGATAATCATACATTTATTGACATGCTTAAGGGGGAGGCAGATCCTAAGGTGGGTGGGATGCAGCCTCTATTGGGCTCATTGAACTTGGAGGAACTATAAATGTTTCCCCAGAACGCACACAGGTATTACATAACTGTACAAACTTTCATAGTAAAATGCTGAGGCGTAGTTTGGGGGACCCCTTCTAATAAGTCTGCCAAAGGGTGTGCTTGAGTGTGGTTTTTCTGAAAATTATAGACATAGTTACCGTTTAGTCACGGCGTTGTAGTAGAGTGTTAGGTAGTATAGTAGTAAGGACTCCGTAGCCTGTCTGGGGTCCATTTGGACTGGGACTTGGCCCAGAAAGTACATGCGTTATGCCACTGTTAATTGGTAGTAAAGTGCTACAGTAGGTAGTAGTATCAGCATTCTCCTCCCCCTCCTCCCGAACTCACAATTGTTACGCAACTGGGTCCGGTTTATTTTAATACGGTATGCCATAATTAGACTTTACGGGAAAATATATGGAAAACTAAAGCATTTCTAAGTATATATGTACTGTTAAACATTATTCAGCATCAAAAGAGCTTTCTAACAATAACAAACACGACAACTTTTGGTAAGTTTGATTTTTTTAACTTTTGTGTCATGTGACTTTATTTATTGGTCTATATCTCTGTAAATATGTATTATTAGATATAGGTGTAATGGAATTAAATGATCAGTGTATAATTCCCTTTCCATTGACACCAAACATGACCATGTTTAATTTGGTGTGTCGGCCATCTCTAAATTCAAAATTGTGGCCGATGACGTGGATATTTTTGAATTCAGCACACCAAAAATAATAAAGTTATCCAATAAAATCCATTCTAGCACAAAAAATATAGCTGGAGCCAAATTGCTGAAATAGCAAACCATACTAGTTGGCACAAGCAAAATGTACAAACAACTATCAAACATGCCGCAACTGTGGTATCCAATGGAACGATGCTGAACTTAACACTTTCTCTTTTTAGATTATTTAAAACATTAATTTATAATTTCAAGTAATTGTTACGCTGATCATTTTACCCAGAATGCAACAGAAGTTTATGAATTCTCAAACAAATTATACATTGTCAGAAAAATACTGTTAACAGTTTGGCTGCCAGTGACGAGTATACTTGTACCACAGGCTGTTGTTGTTATACATTGTAGAACCATAGACTTAACGGCTGGTAGTTCGGGGAAGATATATTTAGACGATAACGCAAAAATAATGGATGTATGTTTGTTGATCTAGCCGGCAATACACTTGAACATATACCAACCCATGCAAAAAGCAGTCGAGAAAACTCGCACTTGGCAGAGACACTAAAAAATGCTGTCCCATTGCTGGCGACAAGTTCAGTCCTCCTTAGGATTTTTCTGCCAATTTAACAAACACACCATTTTGATGATATATGACAAGATGGAAGTATGTTTGTACATGTCTAGACCATTTTATCAGATTTATTTTGAAACAGCGCCGCAAACGTCTCGCAACTCACTGGGGACTTCCAGCGGCCTAGCTGGCTGGTTAAAAAATGGAGCACCACGCAGCGGATAGCACCGCTAGACCTTTGCTATAGCAGCAGCAGACAACAGATATGATCTTGCTAATTACTGTAATTACTGTATATGTGAACATTGAAATAGCTTTTTAAGACTTGGACTTGTTTTTAATATAAAACACTTTGTCTTTTCCTTTTTAAAATATTTGTACCTGTTAGTAATTTTGATTTATCATTTTAATCCATGATGGTAACTAGCCTACATAGAGCGAAATTCTAGGCCTCTGAAAGTCCCCCAGTGGTAGTTGTTGCCAGGTGAAAATGGTCTATACTTGTTCTGGCACACTAGAGGAAGGAGCCTAAAAAAAAGGTCTGGCAGTCAACATGTTCAAGTACAGTGTTTCAAAATGAGTATAGTATAGAAATTAAAAGTATGTATTCCCTAAAATGGCCGTTCCTGGGCAAAACAACAAAAAATAGAGTTAAAGTTTCTATGTTTGTAACTTTGCAATAAATTGTCGTAGACTTTTGAAATTTTGCAGGATTATATATCTATAGCCATTGTAATTATAAAATTCTAATTACAAAGTTATCAGCAATAATTACAGATACCTTGTTTTGCCTAGGAAACATGTCAGGCTCGGTATTGTTGCAAGTGCAACATATTTTTGTAATTCATCATGTTTGGGGCAATCATATGCATTGACCTAGCTTGTTCATACATCACTGTTCAGATTATTGATATAAAAACACCAATAACCATTTGATTTTGCCTTGCCAAAATCCATCGGCTCAAGACAATTTTTGAATACCATTCCGTGGCAAAACAACGTATCGTTGTTTTACCATGTAATCTTGTAGTTACGTTGTTTTGCCATGGAAAATCACTGGATTTTAAGTTCTGTGCTTAAAGATAGGTGGTGCTATCTCCGAAATGACTCATTTCTGAAACCTGAAATTTTCACATGTAATTCAGAGGTGTTTAATATACTCCCAAATGATATTACCTCAAAATCGACAAAAATGTCAGTTAGGTTGTTTTGCCTCGGGAAGGCTGAAAAGCTACAGATTACCATTACTAATACTTTAGCTAAACCTACATTTATCAAACAAATAGTATATAATTGTGAAAACGTGTTACTAATTATATTTTATACATACCTCATCATTTTACCGGAAAATTCTTTTTTAATTTCTCTGATTAGATTTTCATACCCGGCTTTCATCAAACAAGATGGCAGAACCAATGCACGAAGGAGTTTATGTCTTGTTGCATATTCAAGAAATGAATACTTCTCGTCAACCATCGCTATTGCCAGTGCTGAAATCAGCTGTTGAGAAATGCTTGATTCATCCTTGTCTTTCTCATTATTGCTAATTTCATCAAGTTTTTCGTCAAAGTAGTTTTGAAGCACCTGTTATAAGAATACAATTTGACAATTTTCAATGACTCATTTATTATCTATCTATCTATTTAGAGAATATACAACCAAGGAAGGGATCATTAATCAAAAGCTCAGAATCAATTCAATTCAATATAGGCAATAGTTTGTTGTTAAAATCAATAATTACTGGTAGTTGGGTAATTCCATGTCAAATCAGCCAAGAATATACGTCAATCTCTCAAAAAAGTTGCTATATATTAAAAAGTTCAAAGTTAGATAAAAAAAATTATATATTATTAAAATAATTTTTAAAGTTACAAATTTAAATTACAAATTTCACCGGGTAATATGTTGCAAATTCTGGTAGCACATGGAGTAAGATTGAAATGAGAATTCTGTCCTCTGCAGTGACGAATATCAAAAGGTGTACCAACAGAAGAACTACGGGTAACACAGTGTTGCATGGTAATGAATATCAAACAGATTTAATATCTGAATTATGGTAGAGTTGAATAACTTGAAAAGTAATAAAATATCAGCAAATTGTCTCCTATAACATAATGGGAAATGTTTGGAGTCTGCATCTGTAATCTAAATTAATGTTATTTAAAATAAATTTAGTTGCTCTAACGCTGGACACCTGTAAGTCCAGCGTAATCATTTATTTTTTTATTAAATATTCAGCACAACAAATACAAATCAGAAAATGGCCAGAGGACACCATGGGGTGAGAGTCCAACACAAGATGTGGGTATTCTCCAAACCCCTGTCATATTCAACTTTGAATTTTTAAACTATAGCAACTTTTTATGGTTGCTTGGAGGAGTTAGCATGTATTTATTGCTACTTAATAGCTTTAAAAAGACACCAAACCCTGCAGCTCAATAGATGAGACTATACTTAACGGAATATGGTCAGTTAAATACGCAATTTACCGCTAATTAGCTCAAATTTCATTAGCACATGTCACTAATTAGGAGGCCTAGAGCAAAACCTTTTCATTTCTGATCATTTCCCATGAGTCCCAACCATATCCTAAAATTTGAACAAAATTCAAAAATTACTGACGTACCTTTTTTATTGATTTGACATGGAATTACCCAGTTAGTTAAATGCATGAAGTTCAGAGGGAATATGGGTGGCAAATGATTATGAACAAACAGCCATTCAGCTAGTAGGCTACAGTATTAACCACCGGTGGCCTATTTTGACCATATACTAAATTTAGAGACTACAGTTCACCCAAACACTACATGATGTAATTTTAACTAGTATTAACACCAGGTAATGAAACATTTATGTAAATTTTTTGAGTTATACTTGACCTCTTTCATGGAGAAGTTTCCTGGCTTCCATTTTTTTGCAATTCCATCAAATACCCAACTATCTGACATTTGCTCTGTGATTTGACATAGTTTCTTGAATGCCTTTACAGCGCCTTCGTTGGTAACATTCTGATTGTGATGTTGACACACAAATCCTTCCCACTCTGGGAGATATGATTGCACTGCAATCTCATGATCTCTCCTAAGTTTCATATCTTTGTCAAGAGTATCTGTTTTCCATACATTTCTTATTATTTTATTCAGGAAGCTTTTGGTACCTTGTATAAATCTATTTTCACTTTTCACAGGTTCTTCAACATGCAAAGCACCGTCATAATGGTGAAAAGTTTCTGCAAAAAAAAGTTTCAAAAAAACATTCTGTGTCATCTAGTATAGGTATACTTGAATTCACTGTAAAATCGGGTATGTGATGTTGCTTTAGTGTCAATTCTACATAAAGATATATGTCCATAAAAAGAAAGACATAATACATACTTTTATTTCATTCCTGAGATGGTAATAAAAATTTCAAAAACATAAATTGGGCTTGGTTTCCATTTTAATCATGATTAAGAACACAATATAAGGGTCCATAAAACATATCAAAGTTATAAGAGTTAAGCTACATTTATAATAGATATGTTAACGACACGACAATGACATACCATCGCGTCGTTTATATTTTTCAACACTGAGCACATACCCCTATAAAGGGTGTAGGAACTAATGTCAGTAGGAAAAAATATCAGAGGAAGAAATACCATTGATTGATCCACTTCAGAATAGGGGTGTTGCTTAAGACATAGACAGGAACTATCACACACCCAGTTAATCCAACTCATATGGTAATTACTGGCGTTCATAGTATAATTAGCAGAGTATCAGTTATTTCTTCATTGTATTAACTAGGCTAACTATTTATCAGGTTATATTTATTTTACTAAATTTTTGTTTGCTGTATTAGTATCCATAGTACATTTACTGGTATGTATACAATCAGGGTTAGGTTGTATTTATTTAAGTAAATACAATCTAATAATACCTGAATTTAATTAAGTAAATGTATGATACTTGAATAAATACAACCCAATAAATCATTTAAAAAAAAAATTAAAGTATTATATAGTACATTTAATAATAATAATAATACAACCCAATAAATCAGTTAATGAGGCTGCATTTAATTAATTATATATAATTAGCAACCAAATGGCCAAGTGTTTAAGGCGGGGGCACCGCGATCATAGCCAACAATATCGGCACAGGTTCGCGGCCGGCTCGCTCCTATAGTTCTGGTGTTTTCTCTGATAAGGACTATAAACCGTAGGCCCAGTGTACACAAATGCTCATGTGCACTTTAAAGAACCCAGTACATCTTTTGAGTTGAGTAGGGGTTACCCCGGTATACTGGTTCACTCGGCCCCTGTCATGGACAGATGAAAGTGCGCCAGTACTGGCTGCGGTGGACGTAAAGTGACCCTCAGGTGAGGAGAAAGTTATTGAAAAGTGCAACATCTACAGTAGTCCCGAGCGCATAGAGACCTCGTTTATCTGCACTATATAACATCTATTATTATTATTATTAATTAATTAATAAATAATACTTAAATTAATACATCCTAATAAGAAATGTTAATTAGGTTTTTTTAAAGTATCATTTATTTTTGTTAAATAAATACCACTAAGATCTGAACATAGACATATAGTCTGGTTGTAAAACTGCTGAAATGAACTTTAGCGGGAAAAAAGTAAAGGAAAATTAATTTTTGGTTTTTCTGAATCAGCATACCCTATAGTGTCTCAGAAAAAAAATCCCCATGCCTGGGGCTTGGGCAATTTTTTTTACAGCACTTTGAAATTTCGACCTAAAATACCCTATTTTAAACTATGTAAGATGGGGGTAGGGGAAATAAATTTATGTTTTTGGTCACTTTTACATATACTATGGATATGAAATGTAACAACAACTTCGCTAAATAGTTACTCATCACTCTCATTTAAAAATTTGATCGGAATGATGACGTCATCATGATAAATTATAAGATGGCGTCCATTAAGGTGGTAAAAACTATGTTTTTAATGTAAAAATTATTTTATTGTTATCAAAGTACAATATAATCCCAATACAATATTATACATACAGGAATAAAAAAAAACCTTAGTTAAATTCTTACCCATTATAGTCGTTCAGTGGTGGCC